GCCAACCAGTATTGTTCTCGCCTATGTTGTTCGTATTTTGCCTCAAAAGTTTTAAACTTTTGTTTTCTTGAATTATTTTATTACGTCTTTTCGGATTGACCGATGGAATTCTTTATTTAATTTCTTTATTGTTGTGTAGTTAGAGCCGTATTTTGCCGTCAGCTATCTTCTTTTACCTATTAGCTCTTTGGTATTTTGGCTTAGTTTTTCTTTATGGGTCAGAACGGTCGGGCAGCACTCCCTTTCCGATTCTTTTAGAGACTTCATTAAGTCATCATTTGCTTGATCTACGTCTTTTTTATTTCGTTTTGCAAGTCTTGTGTATGTCTGGTTAATGTATCTTTATACAGGTTGTTGTTTTCTGGAAAAATCCATTTATTTTTTCTTATTTTTAGGATCATATTTGTTCTTCCCAATTTGACATTGAATAGTATCTTAGCTCAGTGGTCGCTTCCTATTAAAAATTTGTTAAGTAATTCGATGTTTTTGATTATTTTTTTCTGTTTCTTATGATATAATCTATTTTATTTTTGACACTGCTATCTGGGCTCATCCATATCCATTTACGTTTTTTATCGAAAAAAGAGTTCATCATGAATAAATTTTCCTGGTGTAAAAAGTTTGGCAATTTTTGCCCTCGTACATTTCTTTTGCTATAGCTATACTTACTCATTGCTACTTCTGCATCATCTTGTTTAAACCCCATTTTCACATTAAAGTCTCCAAGAAATATTTTATAATATACTGGTGTGGCATTTAACGCTGTTTCTAGGTCCTCATAAAATTTTTCAATTTCTTCATTTGAGTGGGAAGTCGTTGAAACATATATCTGGATTACCTTCAGATTATATCTTGTATTTAGTTTGAAGATAGGATATACGATCCTGGGGCTTATGCTGATAATTTTAACTATATTTTGTGTGTGTTTTAAATGTATAATGAATCCTACTTCACCATTTGAAGTGTCTTCTTCACCTCTTAAATGAAAAACGTGTCCTGATTTAAGAGTAATTTGGGCTTCTCCTTTTCCTCTTATTTCACTGAGGCCGATGATGTCCCATTTTATGTTTTTCAGCTCTTCCTCCAGTTCCATTGTCTTCTGGTCTGATATAAGAGTTATATGAGTTTGTCGCTCTTTATAGTAGACTGATTTTTTCGGGGATTCTTACCACCCTCTGCTTCAAACCTATTCCAACCGCTACCTTGGTTGAGGGTGTTAGAGCCGCCGGAGACTGAGGGTCGTTTACTAGTTTTGTCTTTAATGAAAAATATCTTTTGGGATTTTAAGCCATTAAAACATCACGCTTGGCTAGTGCGTGTTTAAAAGTTGGTTTGGAAGTAGGGGGAGGTAAGGGTGAAGATGGGAATGCTTTGGGTTTGGACATGGTTTCTTCAGGGATAGGAGGCTGGAGATATCCATGAGGTCACGTGGGCAGGTGTGCTATTCCTGACGTAGATCTATCCCCTACCGGGATCGCAGAGAAGAATCTACCCACTACCCATGAGTAATTAAGAGCACATGAAAGTGCATATTAAATCCCCTGGCTCTCAGACTACAATAGCCTACCTAGTACCTAAGCTCTGACGTCAAAACGGCTGGGAGTTTTGAAAACATTTCCAAACATTTTTAGTTTGTGTGTATTTGTCCCATAAGAAGTTAAAAATATTGGTATATTAAATTGTTTAAAGAATAAATAAGGACTTTTGGTTATGAACATTGATTCTGTGAGATTGGTATTATTTTTTGTTCGTGAATTTGTGAGGTAATAATATCAAAGTATTAAGATATTTACTATAAATTTTCATATTTTAAGGTTATGTTATTGTTTAATTAAAGCTTTAATTATTTTTTACATATTTTAAGGTATTTTGTCGTTTTTATCGCAGTTATTTAAAAATGAATCAACAAATCGTTGAACTTCGTTAAAAAATATTTAAATTAATGTTTAATTCTTTTTTGAGTGCTAGTAATTGTATCCCCTAAATAAATAAATATATTCCTTTTCTCGTAGTTTAAATAGTTAATAGTAGTTTTGATAGCATTACTGAAGAAATCAGTAATACTGGATATTTTCAACACATGTTTACTAGCGAAGATATGCCCAGATCTAAAAAATCAACTCATAAATTATTACAATAATCAAAAAACATTTTATAAACATCCGTTATGGTAATTTGATAGGAAGGTTGCCACAGAATTTTATATTTCTACTTAAACTACAAGAAAACAAATATTTTTAGTCTTTTACAGGATAAAATCACTGGCAACTAAAAAAATAATAAAACAATAATTTAAATATTTTTCAATCTTGTAAATAAATTCAATGATTTATTGATTTATTTTGAAATAACTCTGATAAAAACAACAACAAAATACGTTGAAACACAGTAAAAAATAATTAAAGATTTATTCAAACCCGTATCAAACAATAGCATAACCTTAAAATATGAACATTCATAGTAAATATCTTAATACTTTGATATTCTTACCTCACATATTCACGAACAAAAAATAATACCAATAGTAGAGTTTTGATAGCATTACTGAAGAAATCAGTAATACTGGATATTTTCAACACATGTTTACTAGCGAAGATATGCCCAGATCTAAAAAATCAACTCATAAATTATTACAATAATCAAAAAACATTTTATAAACATCCGTTATGGTAATTTGATAGGAAGGTTGCCACAGAATTTTATATTTCTACTTAAACTACAAGAAAACAAATATTTTTAGTCTTTTACAGGATAAAATCACTGGCAACTAAAAAAATAATAAAACAATAATTTAAATATTTTTCAATCTTGTAAATAAATTCAATGATTTATTGATTTATTTTGAAATAACTCTGATAAAAACAACAACAAAATACGTTGAAACACAGTAAAAAATAATTAAAGATTTATTCAAACCCGTATCAAACAATAGCATAACCTTAAAATATGAACATTCATAGTAAATATCTTAATACTTTGATATTCTTACCTCACATATTCACGAACAAAAAATAATACCAATAGTAGAGAATGAATGTTCATAACCAAAAGTCCTTATTTATTCTTCAAACAATTAAAAAAAACAATATTTCCAACTTCTTATGGGATAAATACACACAAATTATAAATTATTGGAGAGATTTTTAAAATCCCCACCCATTGTGACATCAGACTTTCTTTTTATATACCATATAAAGTAGAAATTAATATTAAAATAAATTAACTTATTAACACATCAGCTTTTCGATTACTTTTAAAACTACTATTAATATTGTGCAAATCAATTATTATCGTCAAAAATTCGGATGAAGTTGAAGATTTTTTACCACTACAAAGCGGCTAAAAAGGTTTTTATATTATCACGCCTTAACCCAGTATTCGTCAAGTCACTTAAAAAATCAATAAATGCTTATAACGTAACACCACCTTTTTATTTATGATAGATGAAGCCATTAGTCAGAGTAACAAGACGTCTTTCCGTTACAATATTACATAGCGATATCAGTCGTATAGAAAAATGCTTTTAATTTTGAAAAATATATTTTTTGGGGAGTTTTTTACCTAATTATCACTAAACTGTGTCTAATAGATTAGACACATTGAGTAAATTTCAACTAATTGATTGTCGATTGATAGATAGGTATGTTACCTTATTTCGCATATCAGCTAAGTCCAATATCATGAATTTTACAGGAATCAGAAATATATGAATAAGACCTAATATACAATAAATTTCCGAAGTTTAATATAATTCACTTGAATAATGTATTCTTAATAAGCGTCAATGTAAAACTAATTAAAACTAGAGATAAACTATAATTTTATCATTATTTTTAGAAGATAGCCTCTTTTCTAGGTAAAAATAAACAACGGATTTTCAGTTCACCACTTTTATTGCATTAAGAAATATATTGTAAAAATACCCAATTTCCAAAGTAGGTAGGTTTTGAAACAATTTTACTCATTTATGGAGTAGAAGTAAATAAAAATTCTATAAATCCACTACAATAGAAGCCCCTTGCCATATGAGTTGGCCCAACGTTAAATTGATAAAAAAATTAAATTTTAGAGAACAAAAATAAAAGCGCAGAGTAAATTTTAGAAGTTTTAATGCATCGAACAACATTTTTTAATTTCCTAATTATAGAAAATATTTTATAACGTAATCGTTAGGTTAGAATGACAGGGTTCCAACTAACAAAATCGCATATTTGGAGTTATTAGTCTGAAAAGATTTCAACTGATCTTCCCTATCTTTTGATCTGACAACAGCGCTGGCTAACAACGCAATTTTGAGTCATTACAATGCCAAGGTCCCATCTGTGAACATAAATGAAACAAAACTAGAATGACATGGTTTCAGGTGGTTAGCTGGGCAAATTATCCCCTGAGATATTACCCAATAAAGGAAGAAGAAGAAGAAGATGGTTTCAGGTGACACATGAAACCTTGTCACTCAACCAATAATTAAGATTCGCATGTACTCGTTTGACAATGTTCCAACTGCAACAGCTGTTCATGTTCACTGTCTAGTATTGAGGTTATATATGTTATTGTTTATAACAATGACGGAACTAAATAAGTTGTGACTACTTATTACTGAGGTATTAAGTGAGGATGCCGAATTAGAGGACTCTGGTGATCCTCACTTCCCATCATCAGAAAATTTAAGCGATGAAAATGAAGAAATTACTGACAGGTAAGCTAACCTATATTTTTTATTGTTGAAACCTTTACTTCGTGGAATCTAGTCATTTTTATTAAATCAACCTACAAATAACGTTAAAAATTCCATAAATTATTATTTAAATCCACATATTTCAAAGCAATAAAGTTTTATAGCTTTAGTTTAGTTTTTTTTAATAGCCTACTTTTCAAAAGTTCTATTGCACTTAATCAATTTTTAAACTTCCATTTGCAGAGTAAATAGACTTATGGTATTTCAAATTATTCATTTGAGGTTTTTAAACTAGTATATGGTCATAGTCATACTATTTTAGCAGCTAAATCTAGTGGTATTTTGCAGGCGACCTAGAAATAAAGCCAAGAAGCGTGTTCCTGCAGATATTTCAACAACTGCAACTAAACCAAAACCAGCGTTGATGCCCATCGATCTCCCATCAACTTCAACCGCTGGTGCTCACCAATCTACTTCAAATGATGAGGTTGATTTGCCTAGAAATCCATTTGGGGAAGAAGTTATTATTGATCAGGTAACAAACACTAAATCTCCTCCTGTTAAGAGAAGAAAAAGCGATGTTTCTTCTTGGAAAAGCCATAAACGTTCTATCAGCGATCAAAAAGGGGAATCTTATGTGAGTCGTAGAGGAGTTGTAGTGCCCGCTAAAGAAGTTAACAGTTTAAAGGACTGTTTAAATGACTGTACATTTAAATGTGGGGTATCTATTAGTGAAAATGAAAGACACGCTTTGCTTATGGCGTTTTATGACATCAATCAAAATGGAAAATATCAATATATCTTTGGTAGAACCACAAAACATTAGACAAAAAGACTTAAGATAAGAACAGAGAATCATACAAAAAATTCACTTTTAGGTACTTCTTTAATGTTGGTAACCAAAAGGTACAAGTATGCAAATAATTGTACTTAGGAACCCTAAGCATCTCAAAAAAACCTGTCTATACGGTTCATAAGAACAAAGATGAGGTCACCAATACACCCAAGCCGGATGATAGGGGTAAAAGTGCCCAAAGTTCAAGACGCCTCAATCAAGAAATAAAAGAAACTGTGAGAAATCACATAAAATCGTTTTTCAATGTTGAGTCTCATTACTGTAGGGATACAACACAAAGAAAATATCTGGATTCAAACCTCAATTTAGCTAAAATGTACAAACTTTAAACAGAAAAGTGTAGGGAGGAAAATGTTGTGCCTGTTAAGCTAAGCATGTATCGACATATTTTTGTGAGAGACTTTAACCTAGACTTTTACGTACGGAAATCTGATCGCTGTGATCTTTGTTAGGAGTATAGGATTACTATCCAGACTCTCGGAATTACAAATATGAGAAGCATAGAAGCATTGGAGATGTGAGTTTTTTTGAAGGATGCTGAAGATCTCATGGACAGAGCACGTGACCAACAACGAGGTGCTAAGATGAATGGATACTGAGACAGAACTCCTAAATATTGTAAGAAACATAAAAACGAGTTATGTAGAACAGATTTACAGAGGAGAAAAATACAACTTCCTACGACTTATAATGGAACGGAAAGTGGAAGGAAGAAGAGGTCCAGGAAGAAGAAAATGCTCCTGGTTGAAGAATGTAAGAGACTGGACAGGTATGGACACACATTCGATAATAAGAACAACTTTAGATAAAGAGCAATTTGATGTAGTTATAGCCAACCTTCAGTAATGGTGAAAGCACCTTAAGAAGAAGAAGATATCTATGGTTCACCTCTGCAAAACTATTTTTTATGCAATTGCAAAGAATGTAAAACTAAATGAGAATTAGTGATGGCCGCCTTTATTGCTGTGTAATAATTCGGCTGATAATGTTGCCAAAGCTTATAACTTACGCGTTTTTTTTGACAATATAAAAATACACAATAATAATGATTGTCTATTTATACAATAATTATTGTATCCTACACATCTTCTTCTTCAAGTACCATCTCCGCGGCGGAGGTCGGCAATCATCATAGCTATTCGGGCTTTTGAGACGGTTGCTCTGAAAAGTTCATTTGATGTACATCCTTACCACTGTCTTAGGTTGTGCAGCCATGACATTCTACGCATCTCTTCGCTTCTCTTTCCTTGGATCTTTTCCTGTATAATCAGTTGGAGCAAGGTGTATTTCTCTCCACGTGTAATTGTTATTTCATTTTTTTGATTTTTTGTATTATGTGTGAAAGAAAAGTTACATTGTCCTACTCCTAATATCCTTTACTTTTTACTTTATATACCCTGGGGTGGGGGTAACCCCGAAAATCTCACTGACTGCGCCACAGCTTTACACTCATGACAGAGTCGTCTCACTACATCGAACCCTACATCTGGGAAAACACGTTGCTCCTTTAAATTATTAAATAATAATGAGGCAAAATTAATGGAGATGCAGTACTAGCGCAAATAGCAAAAATTATATGCCTTAAATACTCAAAAAATTTATTGCCTATCTTTTACGACCTCTATACCTTTTTTTAACGGTTTAAAATTATTATTCGGTTTTCAACATTGTTTAATGCGAGCACATAACTCTCTGGACTATTATATAATAAACTACCATTTTATTTCTCTCTAAACTTTCTGCGTTTCCACTACATTCGCATTGTTATTCAACCTGATGCTATATATTACTGACATACCTTAATACCTGCACGATTCGTTTAGAAAAAGTACGGTATAAAATTGGAAATGCTAGGGTCGAAATAATGAGATTTAGCAGAAAAAAGGAGTTTATTTGGTGCGAGAGAAAAAGTTTTAGGAATGCCGTATCTTATAAGGAATGTCGATTAATTTTTTCCTCTCGACTTTTTCCAAAATAAAGTTGCTTCGCGTTATTACAACTCTATACAACTTTTAATCAGAGATTTTTTCGCTTATAGGTATTGCCTACGTTGTTGTACATATTTACATAAAATAATGCATATAGATACACTAATTATGTTTACATATAATTTTAAAATGACCGGCGTACAAAATATATCATAACGAATAAAAAATGTCCTATAATATCACAATATCTATTTGATTTAAAATTAACTTAATAGGCATGAGGCAAAATACGAACAACAGAGGCAACAAAAATATGTACAAAATAAAAAACAAAGATTGAAACATTAATACTGATAGAACCAAAATTAAAAGACATTAGAAAATTTTAAAAGCACTTTTAGAATATGCTTATAAGAAGGCGCATATAAAAAAGCATAGTATAAACATAAATGGAGAAAAGCTAAGTCATTTGAGATTTGCAGATGACATCGTCCTTATAGTCGATCGTATGGATGATAATGCAATAATAATGTTTGAAAAATTATATTACACTTCCTTGGAGATCAGACTAAAGATTAACATGAAGAAGACGCAAATAATGCCTAATCTGGTGCTAAATCGAAATATTCCTGTTGATGGAAGGGATATTGTGCAGACTACATCGTATAAGTACCTTCTTCTTCTTTTTTTTTCTATAGATATGACTCTATCTGTTTTTCAATGTGCCTCCAGTAAGTTGTCATTCCATCGTTTTCGTTGTCTTCCTACTGATCGTCTTCCTATTGAGTAACCGTCTCTTGCCGTCTTTACTACTCTATTTGTTGTCGTTCGGGTTATATGATCGTTCCGTTCTACTCTTCTATTTCTTACTGTGAATGTAATGAAAAAACTGTTTCAATCTTTTAATAGAAAACGTTTCGTGCAGTATTTATGCACTTCTTCAGTTCTAATGATTGTAAAGTCATATATAGATGTCAAACAATGTCAAATGCATACATTGAGGTGTTACAAAATACATTTAAAAAATACAATAAAATTACAGTAAAAAACAGAGTTTTTTTTTTTAATTTATACAAACTATTTTTGATAGATAGGGATCTACTATTAAAAAGAAAAAACAAAAAATAATATGGTTTTCTATCTATGGAAATCAGTCTTTGTACGAAAAATCAACTAGATGACAAAAATACTTTTTTTTATGCAGGACCGAATAGAAAAGTCAAATTATTTTTAAATCTGATTAAAAAGAAGTATAAGGTACCGATGACCAGTGTTATAATACTTGACAACAATGAACTCCACATTGATGAGGTATCCACATCTGAGTCTTCTCCTAGATATTGCTCACTAAGATATTTTCCACAAGTTACAGAGAAACTTACTAAATTGTTTAAACTCCTATCTACTAAAATAGGCATCAAAAATTGTAAAACAGTTGGAAAACTCTTTTTACGTACAAAAACACTTTTGAAGTATATTCGCTGTTATTTGAAGTATATTCGCCAAACAAAAAGAACCCGCAAAGATCGTATTATATGCCATAAAAGTGATCAGATGCAACAAGAACTCTTGTGCTCTCAGTACCCAAGAACGGTTGACTACATAGGATAGTTCCGTCGCCCAAATTTGTCTGTCACGGCAACACGCGGCTATGACGTAGGTGTGGGGATGACAAGAATTATCGACTTTATTGTTACTATTAACTTTTATGGAAGATGAGCTTAATTTGAGATTAAAAAGTTTAAAACGACAAATTTACGTTTTGTTTTTGTAAATAGATGGCAGATAATCAGATTTTTAACAGTACCTAAGACATTCAGATTTATAAATTCGTAATGATCTGTTTTACATGGCAAATAAAATTTATTTTCGAAATGAATGCATTTGCTAGTGTTAGAATTAAATTAATAAATGTCAGTTTACTCTCAAAGTAAATATTTCTGGTAAATAAAATCTATAAATCCGTGTTTTACTTACGCAGTCAGAGCACAAATTAATATCCAAAAACACTTGATGATAAATAAAACTATTCAATGCTGAACCATTTATTTCATAAACATACATAGGTAAAACTAAACAGTATACAATACTAGGAAACTTTAGAAACATTCCCTACCGAACAATTTTATTTAATTTTCTAATTTTTGACCTAGTTGAATCCAACACGGATAAGTTTTTTTGCTTCAAATTTTCAGCTTGCTTGAATTTAAATTCTATAATTTATTCAAATTATTGTTCTCAGTTTATAAAGGTTTTTAGTAAGCGCATGTGGCAACACTTTTTCTTTTTTTAAAATCTTTTTGAAATGTTTCCAACAACTCCATTATTTCTCCTATAGGTATCAATATATTTTTCCTAATATTTATTCCATAATTTTATTTTTATGAACCATTCATCTGTACGCTTGATAAGACCTACATAAGAGAGTTGGTGCACCCATGATGGTAAACTATAACTATGTTCACTAACTTTGTATGTGAAATTACCTAAATCAGGTAAACTATGTTTAAATTTGTTTGCTAAATATCCAGCGATATATTCTAAGGCATCTTCTGTAGTTTCCTGCAAATCACTGACAACACAATATGAGGTGGCAGACTGATTAGAAGATGATTCTTGGGAAGAGAAAGAACTACTATGGTTAGATTCATCAGGTTCTTCTATTTTTTCTTGAGGAATTTTAAAATTGGCTTTTTGGAATACTTTTGGACTAATATATTGATCCACACTAAGAAAGAACTGCAATTTGGTTTGGTATTAACACTTTATTTAACAAAATTTCAGCAAAAATTTCAGATTTTTTTGATTTTTTCTGAACATTTATATTTTTTGCTTTAGAATACCTCAACTGAC